AATAAACCTCTTTAAACACAAAGGGGTTAAGGAACTGACAAATCCTACTTAGCGATAACCTCAAAATGCTAAATAAACCAGTTTAAACACAAAAGGGTTAAGGAACTGAAAAATCCTACTTATCGCCGTGAGCTTGAATGGAAGCAGTAGACAATAGCGGCCACACCAGCACGCGGCAAAACAATGCTAAGCAGCGCGAGCGTGAGGGAATGCTACCGGAAAGGCTACACGTGCAGCGCAAACTTAGCGTAGTTTACGTACAAACGAGCGGGACTGTGTACATGAGACTCGTCCGTACCTACACACAAACGAGCGGGACTGTGTACACGAGACTCGTCCGTACCTACACACAAACGAGCGGGACTGTGTACACGAGACTCGTCCGTACCTNAGCACGCGGCAAAACAATGCTAAGCAGCGCGAGCGTGAGGGAATGCTACCGGAAAGGCTACACGTGCAGCGCAAACTTAGCGTAGTTTACGTACAGACGAGCGGGACTGTGTACATGAGACTCGACCGTACCTACACACGACCTCCATGTGCGTGTCTCTGTATGGGGCGTAGGACGGGCGCCTCATGCCTGTATATGGTCCACTTCATTTTTCATCCCGAATAACATCTTCGTAACATATAATAAAAAGTCAACACAAAATCAGTTACAAGTTCATCTGGCAATAGGTTCAGACATAAAACTGTAATCAGGTGCAAATTCTATCAAAAATAGCGATTCAAGGTTCATCGGAGCGTCAGTCTTCAGAAATTTACATAGAAAAGAAGGAAGACGTAGTACAAAATGTGACGTGTTAACAGGAGCGGCAGACGGCCTTAAAATAACACGAATGTCGTCGGATTTCGTCATCCAGCCGAGACGTTATAAGCTGCACCAGATCTTCCCACGCTTTCTGGGGGGAATGTGAAGCAGCGACATTAGCGGTGACTACAGCAACAGATCAGCAGACATTGAATCAACAGCGATGAATTAATTGTTGAAACAACAGCCAAGACATCAGCAATAACTGCAGCAACAGCCAAGACATCAGCAATAACTGCAGCAACAGCCCCCAAGATTTCATCAATGCCCAGTAGCGTCACGAAATGTGATTCACAGCAGCAANGAGCAGAATCACTCTCTGCAGTCGTTTTGGGATCAGCTCTTTACTTAGTCTCTAGTGTACAGCTTGTTGCGCCTGTCTTTTGTGGAGATTGTTTGCTGCTCACCTCAATATTACTCTTAATTTTTGATCCTTCAGATACATGCCCACAGGAGTTTTGTTTGTTGTGAGGTAGCAACTCACTCTCACATATTGATAAGACCATTTTGGTCGGAAGAAGCTCCAGGCTGTGCCGCCCAGGCTGGACCTTCGGTAGAGCCTACAGACTCATGTGAGGCTGAGTGCAGGGCATGTCAGTGAACACTAACCCGGGATGAAATATGAACATATATTCAAACCTCATTCATTTAAATGCAGCATTTGCCCTTTCCAGTAGCAATATTCTCGTAGTAACTCTGCACTCTGAAGTGTCTTATCTCTGAATTTTTGCCCACAGTTACGCAACCCCCGTAAATCACCGTCCTGTCGAGGGGCTACCTTGGACGCGTCTCCAGAGCTCCTTCAACTACAAATAGAAGAAGAAGAAGTATGTTCGTTCATAGTGATAAGACGTGTGGTGCTATCGCTTAATTAACAACCAACGTTCTCGGTGTTGTGGACAAATCTGAAACCAGGTGCAAATCTATAAATACTAGTGCTTACCGAATAAGTGTGAAGATCATTCAAAGGTATCAGTAGGAGTAGGTATAGCTGAATCATCGTCAGGCGCCAGCCTGACAGAAGAGCTCTTCTCTGAAGCAGTGATGGACACGTCTGAGTACCTAACTGAGTTTGCCACTGTGCAGAGAGTGAACGAAGATTTAAAGACCTACGATGATGCCAGAATTTCATAGAGGAAGCTTGTTATTGTTCATAGTTAACCTGATGCCAGAATTGTTCAGCAAGAAGGCTGGCGCTGGTGGTGCTGAGGGATGCAGCAGCACGCGGCGAGGCGTGCACCGGCATTCATACCTGCGCTCGGTGCCACAACACACACACACAAATATTCATTATTTATATGCTACATAAACGTTTAATAACAATAACATAGGGTCCATCAGAGTTCTCTTTAAAGTAATTAATAATAAGTAATAATAATAAAGAAAGGCCAGCGCTCAGTGCCACAACACGCACACAAATATTAATTATTTATTAATTTATATGCTACACAAACGTTTAATAACAATAACATAGGGTCCATCAGAGTTGTCTTTCTTTAAAGTAATAAATAGTAAGTAATAATAATAAAGAAAGGCCTGCGCTCGGGGCCACAACACACACACAAATATTCATTATTTATATGATATATAAATTTTTAATTTGGAGACAATAACATATGGTTTATCTGAGTTGTCTTGAAAGTAAGGCAAGGCGTCGCATAATAAGTAGGTTATCATATAATAAGACAACAACACACAATATTATATATAAATATTCATTATTTACATGCTAAATAAACATTTACTTTGAAAACAATAACATAGGGTCTATCAAAGTTGTCTTTAAAGTAAGGCAAGGCGTCGCATAATGCGTAGTTATCATACAATGAGACATTTTTTCATCTCGATAAGCACTAAAATCTGAGCAAATCATTAAGGAATGATACAAAATATTACAGAACTAAAGCATTACATACGTACAAGGAAATACGCCAACAGTCATGCACTTTTATGGCGTATAGCGTCTCAGAACTGAGCGCTCATTGATCAGCTCGTTGTGCACTGCGTACAAATGATCAGACCGTCATCTTTATCTGTACAAGCTCTCTAATTTACAAGCTTGAAATGCTTCAGAGCTAGCGGTGCAATAGAGATAGAGAGTGAATAACATAAGTTGTGTTCATGGAATAAGTGCAAGCTTAACACTACCTTCATTTCTCGTTACTCGTCGTGCAAGTTTTTCAAATGCTACATAGTCTGGCTTAGACTGGTTAAATGCTAAATAATCTGGCTTAGAATGGTTCAATGCTAAATAGACTGGCTTAGACTAGTTCAATGAGATTTTTCCTGCATTGTCAAGCGCTATCGGACGAATTTTGTGCGTGACAATCGCTGTATATGCGGCGCGAGCTCAACAGCGAGCTTCTCGTCGCACAAAAAAATACAGACTCACAGACGCTCGCGATGACAGACATTTTTTAGCCAGCCAAGATATCTTTTCGACAACTGAACCCGAGGACGAAAAAGCGTTAGGATTTAATCACAAACTAGTAGCATAAGTTCTCATTTCTGTTGACTTCCAAGCTTCAAGTAGCTGTCGACCAACTATAACATTCGAAGTTTTGAATATAAAGTTGACTTGGGACGAACGTTGAATGGTATTCAATCACTTATGGGAGGCAGACAAGAAAATATGCGCTAAGAAGTGAACACATTCCTACTTAATAGTGAAATAATTTATGAGTTACTCGCCAAACCAAAGTAAAATATTTTGTAAAAACGTTCTTGGTAGAACAGATAAGCAACAGATGATAATCAGCATCTGTTCGCGCATAACTCACTCAATCGTCTGTTATGGAAAGATCGGCTTCCAAAGGCCGGATCCCTTGTGAATCAAGTCACGAAAAGTACAAGAATCGGCAACAGGCCATGGGCCTATTTCTTCAGTGCCGACACTTCTATTCTATTCTATTCTATAACTTAGTCCCCGGTACTGTTGTGTTATAGTAGACTTCAACTTTTACCTCGTACCTCGAGAGGAGCATAGCGCTGCAGGCAAGAGCCCCGGCGTAATGGACAGCTCCGAGTTTGGGACAGCTCTGAGTTTGATGCGAAATTTCGTTTCAAGTCGCTAATTTCGTGTTATGAAACAGAATAACCTTTGGTTATTTAACCAAAGGTCTCATGACCTTTGAGTCTGCTTTGTACATTCATAAGCTATGATTTAGGTGGTCATGCCATTTTTAAATGAATTATAAATTTCGTTAGAATGAACCGAGATCTCTTCAAGTTTGAAGTAGTGAACTACGCGATAAATAAGTAACTAAGTCTTCGTTTCACTCAATTTCTCGTGAGCCTGGATGAAAGTGCAAGCAAAGTTGGAAATTTCTCAAATCTCCGACTTGGGAACGGAATCTAGAAAGCGGAAAGGAATTTCAGCGGTCAATTTCAGTAATATTTTTAATTCAGTTACGATTTACACTCAGTAAAAATCATTGCTATCTAAAAAAATTAATGAAAAAACGTGCTTGATTTTTACAGTGCGCACCTGAAAAACATATATTTTTATGTTAAGATGAGTAGAGAATGGCATAATAATGAATGTTCTTAGTTAAATTGGAACAAAGTTGAAAATGCGCTGCATGAAACTTGCGAATCTACATTTCACTTGCGCACTTCAACTATTTTGGTACTACAAATATGAAACATTTATAATTTACATAATAAACATTCCCTCTAACTGCACAACGTTATACTTCCGAGACGTTCATCATACTCTGACACGCCTACGTATTTGATGCTCTGTTTGCAAACATGTAAAGTTGTAAACAAACTTGAATTGATCGAGAACAATAAACTACATAACAAGTAAATGGTGAGACGAACTTTCAAATTTTAACTGTCCAAGAGGAAAGGAAGGGAAAATATTTTCGTTCATAAAATTCAACTGATGCCCGTCAAAACGTGGCGGAGGTAAACACCCCTTTTAATTTCTTCAGAGCTAGCCTAATTGACTATTGGTTTATCACTTTTTAATATGGCATTAAAATCTGCATTAACTATGTAGGTACCTAAATAATAAAGAAACTTTACTATTGAGATTTGAGTTTGCAGGAAACTTCATTCCCTCTGAAAATTTTTACGCTAATTTTTTCGCAAAACTCTAAGGTTATTTCAATAAACTAATCACTTCGTCTCATACCCTATAACTCTTATCTATAACATTTAATTAAGTTTGCAATAAAGTTACCTGCAATGTTGTGCTCCGGTGAAGCTGCTACTTGCAGCATTGAAGGAACTCGCTCTGCCTCAGGTTATCCAACGGCCCACACACTCAAACTCATCAACTTTCAACACGATTAACCGATGCTTATAATCCTGTATGAATAATCACTCTATTAAGATGTATTTTATTTTAAAATTGAAGCACAATGAAAACTAACGTATTATCACACGTTCACTTTTCGACCAACTCAGAGCTGAAGTTTGATACACCATCCCTCACGGAGTCATGTTGAGCACTGACCACACCAGCGTTGTCCGTTGTGCCGTGTGCGTTGAGCGGAGCAGCGAATGGAGAACATCGAAGGATCTCTCTAATTATTTTTTGCTTATCTCACATTCTTCATGAATTCTTTATTACAAGAAGAAAATTCAAATTTTTAATGAATGGGATACATTTGATATTGATAATATTGCGTTGGTAATATCTTTTTGGGCAATTTTTGTCAACCAAAATTGGGAAATTGCAAAATTCTTGCAATCGGCTGCGTTCACGCTAAGTTTTCTTGCGTTTCGCCATCCGTCCTACAGAATTTTACAGCGATAAAAACAGCATAGCAAACATTGCCGGAGATAATTTTATTTTTCCGTGACAAATCACACAACTCAAAGGTGTCCGAACAACATTTCTATTAGTACAGGATTTACGCTCACAAAACAGGCATTTACAAGCTCTCACAGGCATTATTAGTTGTACGAATAGTTTCAAGGCAACCTCAGCAAATAGTTCCTCAGCGACCTACCTCTTAAATTTGGTATTTCTATAAAAAAGTTTGTGTAATGGACATGCAATTTTTGAAAAAGAATATATGGTTGAGTCATCATAGTGATGTAATTTTTGTTCTTGTAATTCAGTCTAACAGAAGTGCAACCTAAGTGATACAAGTGCGACGATAATATAATAGACTGATCGACATGTAGGCCATCTTTTGAGTAATAATCCGAGTATAGAATTTCCATAGTTTTCACTGCTCAACCGATGCTAAAACCCACTAAAAGTAACTGCCCAAGTTCGGCATTTAAGACAATCAGTCACTAAGCAATCAGCCAACGGTATGTCAGCCATACAATGGCAAATATGAATTGGCTTCGGCGCACTCGGTGCCGTTTACAAGGAAATTTATCATTGTTCTATAGAAGCTGTGTGAGGTTAGGCTGTGTGAGGTTAGGCTGTGTGAGGTTAGGCCGTGTGAGGTTAGGCTGTGTGAGGTTAGGCTGTGTGAGGTTAGGCTGTGTGAGGTTAGACTGTGTGAGGTTAGGTTGTGTGAGGTTAGGCTGTGTGAGGCTAGGCTGTGTGAGGTTAGGCTGTGTGAGGCTAGGCTGTGTGAGGTTAGGCTGTGTAAGGTTAGGCTGTGCGAGGTTAGGCTCTGTGAGGTTAGGCAATGTGAGTTTTGGCTCTGTGAGGTTAGGCTGACATGATGTTCTAGTGACAACATTAATGCATCGAAATGAACTTTTCCTCATCAGCAAAATCCGAACTCATTCGGATTTTAAATAAAATGTACAGCTAGATATAACATGCGTATTGTTTATTTTAAGTTTGAATTACAAATTTTATTGGTTATTGTCATAATTTTTTTGGTAGCCGCGAATTTTTTATTTCGATGCTTGATATTGATATTTCGATGCTTGAATTTTTTATTTCGATCTCTAAGATTATCTCCAAAACTTTTCAACAAGTAACGAAACTTAAATGTTTCACCACCCCTATAATTTCCTACAGGGACTATCCATGGTTGAACTAGTAGTTCAACCATGGGACTATCTATCACATATCGCTATCTGGCAGTATAGCAGATATGAACTATTTGTGATGCGATAAAACCGAACACTCCCTCCTCCCAGTCAGCTTCATAAATCGATGATCTATCTTCAGAGTAGCTTATGGATAGCCGAAAGGTAGTAATCCGGTTTCATTCTGGAATATTTTCGATAATTAAAAAAAATTAAACTTCAAGAAGATAGTAGCTATCGTAGTCCTTGCATTCCATCTCAGGAATGATTAACCATGTCTTCTAGTTTACAAAATGTGTCTCTAAATTTTACATAACTGGACTGTTACGAGAAAATTGAAATAATTAGTGACCTTATATTTTGTACAAAGTCAAAATCGAAATAATCTTGTAGTGCGGAATTTGGTGACGTCCGATATGCTATTTTTTATGCAGTTTCGTATGTTCGTTCATGGATGTTGATTCCGGTTCGAGCTGCGGACGGAGGTACATGGAGGACATTTAGAGACTGTCGCCAAGGTTCGAGCTGCAGTCGACGACGGTCGTAAGTAAGTTCCTAAGCCTACATCTTTAATTTCAATTTTGAAACTCGTGATAACTGTGTTCTTGAACTCTAAGAATTAATCAATAGCGCGACATTGTTAACTTCGAGGATGTCGCGCCATAAGAGGCGGAAGGAGAGTAGCCTGTCTTCAGATGAAGGCAGCAACTCTCCTTCTTTGCCTGAACTAGTTGAGACTGTTGAATCGCCTTTGCCAGTAGGAGATAAGTCAAAAGATCTTGTTTGTGTCCCAGAAACACCTGACTCACCATCATTAGTTCCACCTTTGGCAATTCCTGACTCGGCTTTGGGGAGATCAGTTGCTGCTGGTGGAGGGACTGGCCTTTCCACAGTTCCCCGGAACAGTAACTTTGAGGGTTTTTGTGCTGATGATGATGACATAGGTGAAATCACTCTTGGATCAGAAACTTCAGATGATGAGATCCTAACTCCTGCCCAGAGATCAAACTCTCATAAAAATAGGAGAAACNCTACCTCTACATCATCTACAATGAAAGAGGAGGACTTCAGTGTACTGTTAGTAATGGATGAGTACACTCTGCATGCTTCAAATGTTTTAAAATTAAGTTGTATTCCAAGTGTCCCAAGTTTGACGGGGCTACTCGGGACACTCTTTTTTTGCTTCTGGCACCTTACAAATAGCATACGAAATTTTTTTGGAGAAGCCATGTGATAGCACTTGCAAAGAGCTTTGAAATGAGCCTAAACTTGTTTATGAAATGTTTCATGGTAAGAAGTTATGAATGAAAAACGTTCAAAATCGTCCCCAGTAGCCCTGGTTGACGGTATGTACTTATTTCTACCAAAATTTCAATATTTAATGCTTCTTCTAACTTGAAATGAATGTTTATTGCATTCAAAACATTGTTAATAAACAAAATCAACTTCCTGAAACTTGCCTTTTAATCTACCGTCATCTGAAGAATTGTTCCACTTCCTGATAATGTAAATTAAAGAATTCTCTGGTCATCAATCACACATGTATAAAAAGTAAATTCTGCCATCTAATACTAATAAGCGTATTTGTGTATGTAGAGAAGTTCAGACCGCTTGTTGGCAGGACCACTTGCTCTGCACCAATTGATCAGATTGAGAGTGTCCTACATAAATTGCTAGGGTTATTGACTAGAGAATGCTGATTGGGTGATTTTTCCATTGCATGGAAATATTACCCAAAAGCATACCTACCGTACTTCTACGTCACCTTGGATTTAAGACTGCTTTGTGACACCTACCACCAGAGCCATCCCACACGGGTGCATGAATGGGGGCACATGAAATAACTAATTTGCTGATTTTATTAATTGACTCAAATTTAGTTTATTTAGGGATGCAAAATTTTGATAATGAGTAAACGTTTTTCAAATTGAGCAGTGGCAGATGTAGATATATTTTTACAATTTCCATGTTGATCGCTAATAAATTATTTTATATTACTGTTTTATATAATTAAAATGTTTAGAAGAATAAAAAAAGAACAACCTACTACCAGTATCAATTTTAGTATTGATCAAGTCATCAATCAAGAAGATGAAATTGATGAATTTCTCCCTAAGCCACATTCCAGGTAAATAAGCAATCTATGATCAGAAATATTTGAATTACCGGTATTATATTGTAATACTTTCTAATATGATATGATAATAAATTGTATTAGGCTTGTGACATTTTTAGCTTGCCCATAGTTAGGCCTGAGGGCTATGTGTACCAAACTAAATTTTTCATATCTGTGATATAAGTAATTATTTTATTGATGTAGGTACTATTTGGCATGTCTCAAAACATGATACAAAATTGCTTGTAAGTTGATAAAAATTTTAATTACCATACCATATTAGTTAGGCAACCTGCACTATTATTAGTAATTTAACAATGAATGGACTTCATATGCTGAAATTCCTAGTGGCATAGAAGAGACCTTAACATTTCTATTACTTCATTCTTCACTTAGATGTTGCAAGATCATCAATATGTTATGATTTTTAATGGCTTTGACTGTTAAGTTACACAAAAATATGGCCAAATACATTTACCAAGTCATTACCTCAAAGACAACAAGGTATGATCCAGGGAGATTTAATGTCCCAATTATAATTCTCCATTACTGATGATGTATAATTGGTAGGTAGTTTTTGGTGAATATGATAGTTTTTGATATGATAGTTTTGGATAAATATGAATACAGATTAATATTCAGTGATATGATAAGTAATGATGAATGATAAACAGTGATATGATGAGTAATGATGAACTGTGATATGAGAAGTAATCAGGAGTCCTACAAAAATATGGGGAGATGAGATCAATTGCCTTTTGGTGAAGACTTTCTAGCTGCCATCCTGTTAATCCAGTCAAGATGCCAGATATCAACTAATATCATTAGTGTGCTCAAGTTGCAAGAATTTAAAAGCAAAATAAATGTCAAGTAAATGCACCATATCTGAATGAATTTTTTTTAGAGATTTGTTCCATAATCAGTTAAAAAAATTAGAGAATATAATTACAGCAGAAACAATCAAAATGTACACAAAGAAGATTAAAATCCAAGTGATAAGGAAATGACAATGGAACACAAAAAAGAAAAAACTAAAAGCTTACAATTTCAAAAAGATAGGATCTGTGTTATTATTACTGTATATTAGGAACATTATTGAGAACATGTTTTGCATTATGTAGCAAGATTTCCATATTTATTAATGTGGAATTATCTTGTGCTTATTGGTCCCTTTCGTCCCAGTTTATTCCATTTTATTTTGGTGCATGTTCAGAGGATTTTGCTAATTATGGCCTAAAATTGGTTATAATAAACTGTAACATTCAGCTGTTGTCCTCAAGATGAATTATATGCTCCCATGACAAACTTCTGAAAATGAATAAATAAAAATGATTATTTTTAATTTTTATTCATATCTGATTAGTACCGTATTTATAATTATAATTTTTTTGTTGTAGTTCTCATCTTTCATCCATATTCGATGACCCGCCAATTGCTCAATTGGCCTCAAGCCGGACATCTCTCAACTACGTTCCTCCTCGGCAACCCAATGAAGCCTCCTCAGCTGCGACTGATAGTCTCAGCGGTGCTGGTCTCAGCAACCCTGGAGTCACTGATTCTAATCCTGTCTTGCTTGCTGTTAAAGTCGAAGTCACTCTGATGTGAGTTAATTGATATTGACAACTTTGAATAAGATGATAAAATTCTTTTAAAAAATTGCCATTATTTTAACAGCAGATAAGCCAAACTGCATCTGTTGATACTGCATAGGGAACTGAATAAATCAATTAATTTTCTGCTCAAATAAGAAAATCGTTTTGTAAGAGTTCATTCAAAGCTTCTTCACTGCCTAATTTTTAAAGTACCTTGAAAACTATTTCCAAGAGTAAGATGATTTTGTATTGCTATTTATTAGGAATTCAATGGTGGAAAACAAATCAATTATGTTAGGCTCTGGTTAAAAATCTTTAAAAATTACATCTATAATGTGATCAAGATCCTAAGAAATAATTCACTTGTTAATTGAAGAAGCTGTATAGTTGGGGGCTGTTTTGTTGCTCAATTTGTGTTTAATAATTCATATTGAGTTTTATTAAACTAGGTGCTCCATAAATGTTTGGATTTTGAAATTATATATACAATATAGGTACTACTATACATATAACGTGTGTAAACAAGTAAATCCTGCCATTTAATATTAATCTATACATATAAATATATGCATATCATAACTGGTTTTCATTTTTAAAATCAATTAGATGTTGATTTTTTGAAAAATTCTATTTCTTTATAGCATATATCTGAGCAGAAATTCACAATTTCTTCTTCACAAAGTTTTAGTGTGGATGTTATTTCTTTCTATTTAGACATTGCTCATTTAGCCTTCTCTCTATGTTCCAGCCACAATTCTACTGATCGAAATGAACAAATTGGTGCTGTTGTGAGCTGTGTGCTGTCTCCCAAACAGAACAATTCTCCATGTGTGTGGCTTCTGTATCAAAACCCTAAAAACCCAATTGCTAAGATTCTTGTCGATAAAACCTTACAGCTGTCTGTAAGTATATCCAAACACATTTAACCTTATATTCCATTAAAAAATTCAAAACCTAGTCCATATATTATTATTTTGAAGTTTTTAATTCCAAACATTTGCAGTTCATCATTTCAAATAGTAGGTGTCAATTTTCTAAGAATTTGAGAGTTTTCTGCATCGCATATGTACAATTTATTATGGTTATTGAAGTATTATTTATCTTCAATTGGTTGTTCATATAGATTGTTAGGTCATTATACCAAATATTACAACAGTTTTACCCTATATTATTTGAAAGGTAATAAGCCATGACAGTCTGCAAGTGTTTGATGCGCTTATTTATCTCCAATTGGTTGTTCATATAGTTTGTTAGGTCATTATACCACATATTACAACATTTTTACTCTATATTATTTGAAAGGTAATAAGCCATGACAGTCTGCAAGTGTTTGATGCGCTGAGGCAAAAATGGTGGTTACTTAAGACAGCTCCAGAACAACTCGTCCTTCTTCTTCTCCAGGTATCATTCTTATTTCACTGTAGCCTTTACCTCCCTCTACCATCCAGGTTCCTGTAGAATCCTATATACTTTCATATAAGTGGCCACATAACATACAAGATTATTCTAAATGATGGAACTAATCTAATGAATTTGTATTTATTCAAGTATAAATTCAAAATGAATAATTTATCCACAAATCGAAGGAGGAAGTTTCATGTTTTTTCCATATTTATAAATGCTCAACATGTCCCTCTTGTGCTGCACAGCAAACGTCTAAATGGTAGCCAAACTTGTCCCACACACGAGAAAGCATACCGGTATCTTCTGTTACTGAGTGCACTGGTAGAGGCGGGACGTAAACAGAGTTGCTGGTAGAGGCGGGACGTAAACAGAGTTGCTGGTAGAGGCGGGACGTAAACAGAGTTGCTGGTAGAGGCGGGATGTAAACAGAGTTGCTGGTAGAGGCGGGACGTAAACAGAGTTGCTG